GGTGCATCACCTACTTTCTCCTTTAAAATTCAGTCCACTAATTCTAAGTAGGTACATCACCTACTTGCTCCTTTTAACTTAAAATTCAGTCCACTAATTCTAAGTAGGTCCATCACCTACTTGTCCTTTTTCATTTAAAATACAGTCCACTAGTTCTAAGTAGGTTAATCACCTACTTGTGCCCTACTAGCATAGTTTAGTCAAGCAAGAATCTCAATGATTTAACTCCATTTTCCCCATCTTAAACTCTTTACTAGACCATAACACGAATACACACTTGACCACTTTGACTTTTACATCGAATACCACCTTTTTCTATCTCGAGTCTAAATTCTTTTTAAGTTCAGTTATTCATATGTATGTTGGAAGGCACGGTGTATTACAACTTCAAACATATTATATTGTCACTAGTCGCATAGGAAACTGAATCCATAACTATAGCACAAGTAAATTTTTGAGCGACGTATACATATAGCTAGTACAGTTAGGATACAGGGTATTACACTTACCTCTTATCAAACTTGAATCCTAATGAATACTTAAGAATAAGATACTCAACTAAGAGATTAAATACTGAACTCAATGATATGATACTCGACTAAGGATACTCAACTCAAAATGCTTAACTCATGACACTTAACTGAACTCATTTCAATATAAAGCAGTTTAAAACCAGTGCAATATAATGAAAAGTTGTTTAAAAACATGACGTAACTCAAGATAATAATATCATATAGAAAATATCATGCTCCCTCTCAAAGTCTACTTGTGCAATGCATGAATGATGTCTCATACCCCATTCATACTAAGCAGAACCCCTTGAGGAACCATGTAACTAATATTGTGGGAGCTTCTCTAATTGACAACCATCACTATGAGCCTAAGTAATGCTACGACGTATTACCTCAAGTTGCAAGAGGACCATCCTACACCTTTCCATCGGTATAGGACCTTAATCACTTAGTGGATCAACTAGCTCTCCTTACGTGATCATCTAAAAAGTATGACCCATTAATTCCGATATTGGCTACATGGTTTATATGGAGACTTGAGTTAATATGAACTCTCATCCCCATATCAGTGCTCAACACTACTCCCAAAATGTACTTTAGCTCATACTTCTAATAAAACTTTCTTCCTTTGGGTTGAGATAATTTACTGAACCCTTTAGCTCGAAGAAGCTCCTTTTGGAATCAATGTTCCCCTTTTGTTCATAACTCTGTTGGAACTCTTAGTTTCCTCCTCTTTAACTTTAAATGTGAAAAAAATTATAATTTTTTAGGGAATGCTTAGTTCCATTGTAACTTTTGAGAAATGAATTCAACTCTTACTCTATTCTTAACTTGAAACTTAACTCTTAGGGAATACTTGATTCCCTTACATTACTTTGAAGAAATATCTTCAGTTGTTTACTCTTTACTTGACCTGAACTTTAAGTATTCAAAACTAACTCAAGACTTTTGTGAAAGACTTTAGAAAACTTTATAACTTTACTTTGACTTGTTCTTAACTTATAGACTTGACTATTAACCTTCCTTCAATTGAAATATGAATTCAAGGTTCATTATCTCATGTGGATGATTTTGCTGAATTTCAACTTGGATGGGTTCATGCGGAATAATGAGCATGAACTACTCAACTCGAGAACTCAAAGTTATTTCTCAACTCAAGATTGTTTGACTTATAGATTTCAAGCGAAATTATGGGAATGAATGACTCGACTCGACTCGAAGGTCTAATTAACTATATGGAACTCATGTATGTGATTCTCTCATTCTCTTATTTAATTCCTCAAAACTTAGCTCAATTCAATGATGGATCTCAAAGAATTCATAATTCAACTTAAAGACTTTCTTGAACTCTACTCTTAACTTTCTCTTGAATGGGAATTATGAATTCAAGAGTTTTGGTTCTTGACATGGAGGATTAAGGTCATATTTTTGACTCGTGAATACATACTCTTCACTCTTAAACTCACTTGGTTGCGTCTTTAAACAAGTTACTAGAAGTTGCAGAATACTCCTCAAAAGGATTGGAAGAACTGTCAAAACTAAATCTTGACTTTACCTTTAATTTGAATTATTTTTTTCAAGGTTATGATTCATGTTATGGATGAATTCTAAGTGTTCAGAATCAAAAAATGTGAAGATACACTTTAAATGAACTCAAACGGAGCAACCAGGGGGAAAACTAGATAGGAAGACAACCCTATGTCTATGGGTGGAGCGGGGAGCGCACCATGATGGACAGATATGGGTTTAGGGTGCTCTAGCAGGCGCACCGCGCCAGGCCCCAACCCAGAAAATTCTGCCGAGCACTTTTGCTTGTTTTCTCACCCTTCATCGCCTAAATTCGAATGGTTTCTACCCCAATCCCCTGGATTCGATTACTTAGCTTAATTTCACTCTAATATAATGGAAACAAAACTAAAATTACTCAATTTGATCTCAAGAAATCATCAAAAATCCAACACAATAAGATTTAGAATGAACATCACGAACATCTTTCAAGAACTCTAATCCCTAAACTTTAAGCATGAAATTTTGCTGAAAAAAATACATGATCGGCATGTGGGTGAACTAAAACAACACTATGGAAGATTATATACCTCTTAGGGATTAGGCACATGGCAAAATCGCAATTAAACTCAAGAAACGTGAACGAACGCCTTCATCCTTGCCTCTTTTCTCCTCTTTTCTTTTCTTGCCTTTTTTTAAATCTCAACTAAAATCCTAGGTGTTATTAGGATTATAAAACTGAATCTAAAAAGGATTAGACCCCGAAAATATGACTAAAAATAGATAAATCTGATTGGGTAAGGAAAGTACCAAAATACCCCTCACTATTTTCGGCTAACTTTCCTCAACTGGATAGCCTAACTTCAAAAGGTCATATCTCACTCATACGAACTCAAAATTTATCAAACTTGGCGAGTTTGGAAAGATAATTAAAATATATTTAGAATGGTATCTTGTAGCACACTTAACTCATCCTGTGCTAGGAGTTATTATTTTTTAAAGTTGACCCAAAACTCATACTTTGCTTAACTCTCCAATTTTCAGATTGATTCCAATTTAATTCTTTTTGGAACTCTTGGTTCTAAATCTAGAGAACTGACCTTAATGCTTAAGAAACTTTTAATTCCTTGGCACAATCTCACTCACTACGATGAACAGTCCGAGTCTTAGTTTGAAATTTTTTTTGGGGTGTTACAATATTTTTGTACCTCAGTGTAACTTTTTCGTGTTCATTCCATCAAACATTGATTTTACATATTATCTTTTATAATATCTATATTATATTGTGTATTTATGAATGCTGAAAGAGGTTCAAAATTAAAATGAGTCACTCAAATTATATATGGCTCTTTCAATCCCTAAAAATGAAATTGGTGTCTACTTTAATAAAATATCTTGCAGGCTTACACACCAAAGTTGATTGTGCAGGATGGACTTTATAAAATAATTAGTTATATTGTGCCAAGCATCACAAATAGATTAATGTGGTATTGATGTAGTATGGACAAGAGAACAAATTTATTGATATACCTACAAATCAAGGTTGGTATGTAACACATTGTTCAAATGTATGCAATCTCTCAAAAGAGGATTGAAGATCAATTAATATGAATAAGTTACAATTTTCCTCCTCTATGAACTTTAGCTTACATGACATGATTGTATAATATTGATGTACCCTAGATATAGTCATTTTCATACAGAACAGAACATACAATCCTTTGATAGGTTTTAATTATCCTCAAGCTTATCAGTTCAACATTTTGATTAGAATTGTAATTTTTCTAAGTAGGTAAATTCAACTTTTTGGATAGAATTCAGCTTATTCTAAATAGGTGATATGGTTTTTACTTGTACCTTTGTGTGTGTGTGTATATATATATATATATATATATATATATATATATATATATATAAATGCAACACTCTAAAGTCTAAAACGTAATATAGAGCCTCACAAGTGTGTCTAAGGGTTGTAACATTAAGGTCAATAATAGTGTATTAAAGTTATTTAGGAAGTATTAGAGTCAAAACGTCAAGGAATGTCCATGACGTCTGGAGACAAGTTCAAAGGGTGCTACCGCGTGGACTACCGCCAGCCTGAGCGATCCTGTTATGAACAAGGGTTTCTTCTTCTTTATTTCCATCTTGAATGGAAATTCTTCGGGCAATATGCTTAATGGAACCCCCCGTAGATATTCCTTTTTGGGGAGAGTCATGGTATGCCTGAATGGTCTTGGTGATTTGATCAATTAATTCTTGTCCATACATTTGTCCACTTGCAAGATCTTGTCTATTGAATTTTTTCCAAAAATTATGAAAATATTTTCTGTATAAACATGGGATATTTTCCCAAAGTTTTATCCTAACTTTGAAACAAATTTGATGACCCAAAAATTTCACATCAATTTGAAATAGACTCATTTTGGTTTTAGAAATAACCAATCCATTTGGAATAACAATATTTTTGAAAATATCAAGATGCTTTATATGAGATTCTAATGTTTTAGAATAAACAAGAATATCATCAATATAAACAATAATGAATCCATATAAGGATTGAAAATATCATGCATAATTTTTTGAAATTCAGAAGGTGCGTTTTTCAAACCAAAAGGCATAACATTCCATTCGTATTGACCAAAAGGAACATTAAACACAGTTTTATAAGTACGTTCTTTAAAAATTTGAAACTGCCAATAGCTTGAATTTAAATCAAATTTATAAAATATATTGGCATCATATAATCTGGAAAGAAGATCTTTTTTATTAGGAATGGGATACCTTATGCATTTTAAAACTTTGTTCAAAGGCTTGTAATTTATTACCAACCTGGGAACACCTCTTTCTTGTTCTGCAGCTTTATTAACATAAAATGTAGTACAAGACCATGGAGATTTAGAGGGTTTTATAAGTCCCTTTGATAATAAATTATCAATTTCTTTTTTGCAGAAATCAACTAATTCAAAATTCATTTGACAGGGGCGAGATCTTGTTGGAATATTTGATTCATCATAAGAATCTTCATAAGGCAAAGTCAAAATATGTTTTTTCCTGTCCCAAAGAGCATTTGGATGGTCTGCACAAATATCAGATGCTATTTTTGCAGAAGTCAATTTAATTTTTTCTTGGATTCTAGGAGATTGTAAAGATTCTGAAATATTCAGACTATAAATTTCCATTTGTAAAGACTCAATATGCTTTTGTTTTAAATGAATCAAAGAGTTAATATCTCTAGTGATTGGTTCGGTTATGAACTCAAAA